AATAAGATTAGTTCTGATTGGTTGAGAAGCTGATTGAAGATGATGTCACACAGAAACAATGATATAATGATGGACCAATGGGGGAGGGAGAACAATCAAGGTCAGGAAGTGGAGAACAGCAACAAAACACACATGGACCACAAACTGGGACGTAACAAGGTATCACCAGAGATATGTGATTCTGCAGTTATGTAAAATCCAGATTGTCTATACTCAGTTTAAGCTCCAATATTCAAAATGTATTTGTTCCTTATTTATAGTATACCATATTGAATGTGGAGAAACAAAGCAACAAGCGTCATGCTGTCACTAAATTTTTCATAAAATTCCCTTTTCAGTGTTCTCAAGAGACAAAATATTTGACAACTGGAAAATGATTTTTTTTTTTATCTTAACTTCTATCATGTAATGAAGTTTATCTGCATAGACAAAACCTTGGAACAAAGGCACAAAGAAAATAGTGGTGGTCTCTAGTGCTTTCTGAAGCTTTTAAAGCCAATTGCCAAGCTACTTTTAAACTGTTTTGTAAAATAAATACTAAATGAAGTAATACCGTAGAGTAGTAAGCACTTAGGCTACATAACAGAGACATGAGAAATACCATGGACAGTATTTAGCAGTATCAATCATAAATCAACAATTTATTACAAATGCATTACATATGCAGTATATACTAAGGGACAGAGCTACAGTAAAAAACATTAAATTCCATTAAATGTTTTTCTGCCCTTAAAGAGTATCCAAATAACCATGCAATAACATATTAAAACATCTTGTTACTGTTAGGGGTCAATAACCTGAAAGCCACACACTGATTTTATAGTGCAGCAACCACATGTATGTACAACTTTAAGCCAGGCCACAAAAGAGAAATAACAGAGTATTCCTATTCAACAACTTTCCTTTAGACAAATGAAACCACAAACTGCTGTATCAACTCGCAAGCAGTATGAAAATAGTATCGTTCAAAACTTAAACCAATATTGGGTTCTGTGACGTTTATAAACTATATGGCTAAAATATGTTCAAGTATGATTTCTTTAATTTCAAATGTGATCAAAAACAGATAACACATTTATTTATTAATATCTTATAATTTACACATCACAAAACCACAGCATATTTACAACTAAGTAATACACTACTATTTCTAATACAATTTAAAGTTCCATATTCATTTTTAAAATAATAATGGAAATCACTAACTTTATAAGCAAGGCACAATGTCTAAGTGTATCAGAGGCTGTAAATGTTAAAGAGTGAATACCTTCTGTAAAGTTAGTTCTCTAGAATTCAATCCAAATGTACATAGTAGTGTGTAAATATTAGTATATTTTGTGTGTTGTTTATTGTCGTTACCTTGTCTTTTAAAATAGCGCCTCTTTATTTCTCAGCCACATAATTGCTGAAATTAAAAACGAACCATTTTCACAGAACATTAAAGAAGCCACTGGCCTTGCTTGGGTTTCTTGGCCTACAGTGTAGGGGTGTTTTATTAACTTCCATAGTTAACTTGTTCACTAGATGTCAGAAATCACCTCTATTATTAGGCCCTGAGCCTATATTGACACACGCAGATGCCTATCAACCCCAAAGAGACATTGTGTGTGTTTACATTTACTAAATATCATTTATATACTGACTGCAGCATTTGGAGACTTCAACAAAGAAACAATATGCCCTCCATGTTTATGATAACTCGTATGCTGCAGCCGGATATAGAAAAGCTTGTGGCCAACTGAGGGAAGAAGGGATCCATCTGAACGGTACAAAGAATGGAAAGGCTGGCTGTGCACGGAGATAAAGAAGAGCCAAAAGAGAAAACCAAGGCTGTGTAGGTTAAGAGTGATGAGGAAAGCTGAGGCTGCGAAAGCTGACCTAGAACTGACCGCTCCCACTGACTGCCACTGTTCCACTGCATGTTCAGAAAACAGGGCTGGTGGGAACAGGAGAACACAGGCACTGGTTCACGCAGACAACTGAACAAACTCTGTATCATA